TATTATTTAAAAATTGACATTTTTGCAATTGATTATAGTATTGTTGTGAAATGTTTATTTGTGAATTGATATTCCATAAATTGTGATAATTCCGTATTCTTGAATTTTTATAAGAGTTTTTCTATACATATTAAATTGGCAATTATGCTAGAATACCTTTACAAACTGCTACCTTTCTAAATTTGAGCCCAAAATATTTGATTGGTTAGTTTTGAAATATTATAGAGAGTGACTGTTATTAATGGTTTAAGTGAAATTCATATTAATGGTTTCAGTGATATGTTGAGTACATGATATTGCTACTTTCGAATGTTTAAAGAGATTTAGAAATAATTTAAGTATGCAAGTGGACTCATCCGGTTCGCCGGTGAGGTATAAGTGGACCTATCTGGGACGTCGATAGGGATTAAGTGGACTCATCCGGTACGCCGGTGAGGTATAAGTGGACCTGCAGGGATTAAGTGGACCTATCTGGGACGCCGATAGGGATTAAGTGGACCCATCAGGACGCTGATGGGGTATATAGGTGACCTACTTGGGACGCCAGTAGGGTATTTTGTGAAATCCTTTGAATTATGTACTGCCGTTAAAAGTGTTATAAGCATTTCAATTACACGGATTATACTTAATTATGCATTTATTGAAAGTGAAACTGTTGATGCATTTCTGTTAATAGATCTCATTTTGGAAAATATTGATATATTTCAATCGTGATTATTTTTAGGATTATGATGATCACTTACTGAGTAGCCAAACTCATCAAACTATGGTAAAAAAATTTTTCAGGATAACTACGGATTCATTTTGAGTGCTAGTCAAGATCAACCTTGGAAGATACTGTTGTTGTGCTAGCTTTCTTTATTTACTATGTAAGACCTCGCCACTGTAAATTTGTCCTATCAATAGATGTATATATGTTTTGTCCGTCACATCTCAGGAATAATAGTATTGTAAATTCTTGGGGTGTGACAGTAGGGCAATTAACAAAATTATCATAAAATACCACTTTCCAATACCGCGCTTGGCTGATATGTTGGACATATTGGTGGGGCTATGATTTTCTCAAAAATAGACTTGAGAAGTGGTTACCATCAAATCAAAATCAAACTAGGTGATGAATGGAAGACAATGTTTAAGACGCGAGAGGGATTGAATGAGTGGTTGCACCTTTATGAAGCTCATGAACCAAGTCTTTAAGCAGTATAAATTTGTGGTGTATACTTTGATGATATCCTCATATAAAGCATTGAGGGCAGCAATTGGGCCATCTAAGGCTCGTGTTGGAGCTATTATGATGGGAACAGCGGTATGCAAATTCAAAGAACTGTGAATTTATGACCTGCAATTTGATTTTCTTGGGTTTAATCAAGGTAGATGAAAGAGGTGGCAACAAATAAGAGAATGGCCTGACATGTGCAATTTCCATGGGCAAGTCAGTTTTTATCAACGGTTCATTATTTTTATCAACGATTCATTAGAGGATTCGGCAACAACATAACATCATTCACTGACTGTTTGAAGAAGAAGGTTCTTTCAAATGAGTAGAAAAGAGCTTGGAGATGATTAAGCAGGCTCTAAGAAAGGCACCTGTGTTAGCATTATCAGACTTTGAAAAAATGTTTGAGCTAGAGTGTAATGCCTTATATTTTAGTATTGGGCCTGTTATGAGCTAGAAGGGCAGACCAATAGCATATTTAAGCAAGGAGCTAAATGATATGCGCAGACAGTATTCCACATATGATGTGGAAAAAAATTTTGATCATTCAGGCATTAAGACAATGCTGTCATTATCTTTTTCAGAGGAAGTTTCTTTTATTAATTTATTTTCAGACCATGAGGCACTGAAGTATATTAATTTGCTCCATAAGCTTAATAGTCAGCATAATACGTTGGTGGTAAATTTGAAAGAGTTTACCTTCATGATTGGTTCAAGGCTAGGCATGAAAATAAAAACGCAGATGCCTTGAGTCGAAGAGCGTCACTTTTTACCACTATGGCTATGATCATAGGGTTAGAGTGTCTGAGCGACTTGTATGTTGATAATGACTATTTTGGAGAGATTTGGGAGCAATGCCAAGGTGGAGTTGCAACAGACTATGTAGCACAAGATGGGTTTCTCTTCAAAGGGAATCAACTATGCATTCCTGATTATTCTCTTAGAGAGGTCTGTCCCTATTTCAGAGTTACATGGGGGGCCCTGGGGGACACTTTGGGCAAGACAAAACCATTGCACTAGTGGAGTCTTAAGTATTATTGGCCCAAAATTATGTGAGATGTGGCTAGGCATGTGGAGAGTTGTAGCGTGTGTCAAGTTGCAAAGCAACAGCACCAGAACACCAGTTTAGATTCTCCACTTCCTATTCCTAGTACACCATGGGAAGATGTTAGCGTGGACTTTGTGTTGGGTCTTTCACGGACTCAACGAGGTGCAGACTCCATATTTGTTGTGGCTGACAGGCTTTCAAAGATGCCCCCCTTCGTTGCATGCAAGAAGACTCTAGATGCAACTCATGTGGCCAACTTATATTTCCATGAGGGGGTGAGACTTCATGCGATTGCCAAAAGGATTACATCAGATTGGGATACCAAGTTCCTCAGCCACTTTTGGAGAACTTCATGGTGCAAGATGGGTACCAAGCTACAAATTAGCAACAGTTATCATCCACAGACTAATGGTCAAACGGAGGTGGTGAACTAAATCCTTGGTAACCTCCTTCAGAGCGTAGTGGGTGACAAGAAGAGACAATAGGACTTAGTATTGCCACAAGCCTTTCGCTGACAACAGTTACCACAGTAGGTCAACTGCTACAAGCCTATTTGAGGTTGAATATGGGCGGAATCTTATTTATACACTGAACTTGACTCTACAGCTACTCAAGAAGTACACTTAGATGTTGACAGTATGATCAAGCACATGAAGGATGCCCATAACGACGTTCGAGCTAAGTTGGATATTGCCACTACAAAGTACAAGGACGCTGCAAATAAACATAAGTGATACAAAGAGTTTCAGGGGGATGATCTAGTGGTGATTTATCTACACAAAGATAGGCATCCTGTGGGCATATACAACAAGCCGAATAACAGGAAGATCAGACCATTTCGAGTGTTGAAGAAGATGGGTGGTAATGCCAATAAGATCAACCTTCCAGCGAAGGCTGAGACCTTGAATGTGTCAGGGAAGAATGGAGCGTAGTCTTAGGAAATGACAGATGGCCCAGGAGCAACTTGATCCATCAATGTTACTTATATTTTCGAAACCACGGAACCGAGTAGCAATAGAAGAAAGGACAAACTCGAGGTTGAGTTATTTCCAACCAGGGGAGAATGATGCACCTGACAGACGTTCACTAGTCAACATAGTTCCCATGAGCCTTTTGACCCAATGAATCTATCCATTGACAACCCCCTTTATGATGATTAACATCCCAAGGTCACAAGGAGATCCAATAAGGGAAGGCCGACTTTTTTAGGAAGTTTAGTTTTCATTTGTTGCTATTTTGTACAGTTTCTTAGTGATTTCCAGTGCTCTAATTAAAGTTAGGGGCAATTTAGGAAACTTTTATGTTTAAATTTGAGTAAAGGGGGTTATGGGGTATTTTCAAAATGTTTTTAACTTAAGTAGGGGTAGTTTGTGTTTTTCTTTATTATAATGTAATAAAAGGGACTGGGGTGTTAGGGTTTCTAACATTTTGGGGTGTGACGAAAAAAACAGGTTGGAATAGTAAAATCAGGTCCTATCTAGAGTTTTAGGATCACTTTTTTTGTGCAAAGAACGCCAGGTCGATTCAAATCCAGGTTGTTTTAATGGTTTATTTAACTGTTTATGATGCATCTTTCTCCACTTTCATGTATCAGTTGATGACCCAATTCCTCTATGGAATAGGAAATCGTAATCTTACTCGTTCTCTCGTGTTTTTCTCTGCTTTCTCTCAAATTTGTGCATTTTAATTGTTTCTCATTGGTTCATACGATCCTTATCAAAAAAGTTTAGATCAAAATCCATATTCACAAAAATCAAAAGATCGAAAATTGGGGGGTTTCCCCCTTTTCAGCAATGATTTTTTGTTTTGAATCAGATTCTTGATTTTTAAGTAAAACAGACATCTGCCATCTTTCAGTGGATTTTGGGCAGATTTGGATTCCACCATTTTTGGATTATTTTTGGGCATTTCTGAAAAACAGATTCCTTATTTGAATATATTTTGAAATCAAATGATATAGATCTGTTTTTTATTCAACTGATCTAAAACACTGATTTACTCCTGATCAAATTGATTGAAGAAAAAAAACCAGGAATCAATTTAATCAATGATTTAAACAACTCTTCAATCTGGATAGCTTGGTTTTTTTGGACAGCTTTGATTAATTTAAATTTAATTAAACTGATTTCCTTAAAATACGATTGTTATGATTAAAATAATCGCTGTTCAGTATCATTTAAATCTGATTTTTGAACTTTTAGTTTTATTGAAAAATGATTGTTTAAACTTTAAACAATCGATTATAATCATTTTAAACTTTAAAACTTTGAATATTCTTTCTTCTATTTTTCTTCTTTTTTATTTTCCACTGGATCGGCCTGATTCATGAGCAGGATCGGAATCACTGATCTGACTTCATACAGCGGGCGATCAATCCATAACAAATTCAGGGTTTTTGAACACTGCTAAAGCCTGAAAATAAACATATTTCAGAACAATCGTTATAGAACCTGAAAATTTATGCATATCTATAAAATACCTGTACAGCTCACAGCCACATTCATAGCAAAGGCTACACAATGCATTTCTTAAATGGCTCATTTCAGTTTTCCACAAATTGCATGATGCGAACGGAGGTAAGTGAAATGTTTTGCTCAAAACAGATCAGTAGACACACAGCACAATAAGCACAAAGGTTCACAAAAGATATAGCTAAGTATACATATCCAATGGCTAAAATTACAAGTCCCATCTTAGTTGGTGAAACACATTACAGAATATGGGCAACAGAAGAACCTGTAGTTCTTTATAGCGCTGAATACAAGTGCTAACCCTTGCACACAGCACCTCAGATATCTGAGCTAATCCCACTTCAACCTGTTAGCAGCATATAAGAGGTTTAAAATGTCCATTAACCAAATGAAGGAGAAAAAATCCACAATGTATTGGAAACACAAGAAAATCATGTACTGGATAATCATACAACACACCACGTATCTTATAAAGTACATATTCATGGAACCTAGGGTTACTGCAATATAAAGCATTTAGCAAATCCATCACTTTATGAGGAGTGAAAAACTCTCAGAACACAAGTAAACGCTTACCTTATAAACATTTGCAACAAATGCCAAGAGAGCTGCAACCATCTGCATCACAGAAAAATATCAACATCACATATTGCAATGAATACACATAACTTCACAATCAAGTTGAACAGGAATGGTCAAATGGTACAAAGCAAACAACAAACTTGCTAGAAAAATGGCAACTAAGCTTTACAGAGGCTGTTACAGAAAACAGATGATTTGAAACAAAGGAAAGTGATCCAGAAGACTGCTTTGCACAAGCGGGCCATTATATGCATTGATTTGCTTTAGTGCATGGTTTCAATAAGAAGAATGATGCAAGGGACCTAGCATTATATGGACTCATAAAATAATTAAAAGGATTGAATATATGCTCTAAAAATAACTTACTTGTAGAAATTCATACCAAGGTAACAGTGACACAAAAGATTCATTGACAAAAAAGCTAAAGAGAAAAAGACTGACAAGAATAGGAACCCATGGACAGAAACAAATACCCTTAGTAGCATGGGTGGGCGAACAAACAACATGATCCCTAGATACCTAAAAACAATTGCCATTTTGGTCAAGAACCACAATTACAAAGGACTTTTTTTTTTTTTGATGAAGTACAATTACAAAGGACTTAAACAATGGAATTATTCCAAAATAACATTCCCTCTGCATTTCCTACCTTCCACATCTTAAGAAACCTAGAATTAGAGTGGGTTGGACTAGATGTGCTGCTCCGATACAATCCATACAACATTGAGTTCAAACAGGCTTACTGAACACCTCTATGCTTTTCCCAAGCCCAGGGAAAGGAAGACTACCAAATTAGTTCCAATTAAATGTCCCATGGGTGAAAAACCAATAGGATGGGGCAGTTCCACCACAAACAAATGTAGTTACATAGACAAGAAAGTTGAAAGTTGCCCACGTAGGGATAAGTTTTCACAACTAGCTGGGAAACTTAAGCTATCTCACCTAGATCCTAATGACCATTACAATGTTATATCCGGAAAAACATAAAAACACAACAATCTCATGGATGCAAACTTGACAAAACAGTAGAATGATCCACAGTGATAAGCGTTACAAGCATCTTTCTTACAGGTAGGGGATGGCGTCCAGTGGTAAGGTACCACTTAACAGAATACTGCAGAAGAAGATGGCCATGCTTTATCAAGTTCCTTTTTCTCCTTAGAAATATCCTGCCATTACACAATTATACATTTAAGTGTAACGCATGAACAGCTGAACAAGAGAGATCCACAAGCACTCCAAAGTTACACCAGAATTAAGTAACAGAACACATTCATGCATCCTGTACATTGACAAACAAAGACAAGTACCCATGCAAAAGACATTAAGCAGAAGGCAGGAGGATAACATCTGAATGTTACAACAAATAATATAGAACTATTTGGTAAGAGAAAATGAAATCATCATGTGATGAGAAACTAATAATCATGGCATCTGGTTTCCATAGATGTCAAGCATAAATCAGAAACAAAAAAGTTACAGTAGCAGGGGTTTGTGCTGAACCCCACCGTTGTATTAATATATATGAAATACTCAGAATAACTAAGGAGTTAGTTTTTGTGTAATATCTACAGTGGACCTCACATCTCTCTTTATCACTCTATGCACATAATGACCACACTACATTTGCTCAGTAGTGCTCAAAGTCAACTAATTCGCATTTCCCATCTTTCATTTATGAATTTTCCTCTTTCATTCCTTTGGGGGACAATTTTTGCTTACTGGATGCTATTTTAGATTTTCTATGTCATCTCCCTTAGTGTCCCTTGAATCATGTTATGATAATCTTCCTTTGCCTAGCGGTTTCTTTAAAGTGAGGGAGAAGCACTCCAAAGCTTGTCTAGGAACTTCTTTAAAACTTGTTTCGGAACCAATTTGTTAGAAAGTTTTGGATATTTGAGCCAGCTATGGTTTTTGAATCTCCACATGATCTCCTCCCAAATTTCAGCCAAAAAGGTACATGTAATGAAGAGATGAGCATGATCTTCAATATCAACATTACATAAGAAGCATTGACAGCAACAAGTGTCGTTAACTTCGATATGCTTCAGGTTACTCATCCAAAATCCTCAGGTTTTACTCTATCACTGAAGCAAAGAGAAGCGACAAAAAATCTGTGGACTTTGTTGTTAAAAGCTTGGTACAAAAACTGTTTTAAAAGTTCAAAAAAGTTTATGGTTTGTCATGTGTACTTGCGGATTAAACTATAATTTACATTAACATTGATTAGCTTCTTTTAAAGAGGTAAAGACAAAAGAAGGAAAGAGGTAAAGAAAAAACGAAAGACTTTTCTATATCTTTGGAGAGAGGAATTGAGTGAAAACTGCACTCTCTAAACGAATAAAATCTTTAGAGGGAGAAAATGAGAGATCATTACATTCTCCCTCTAAAGAGAGAGAGGGGGGTGGGGAAGAGGAGATGATCATTCATGGAGATGTAATCAATGATCCTTTTTATATATTTCATAGGGTTTGAAGCAATTAGCAGCTATGTCAGAAACTTGGTTTCTTTCCATTCAGAGCATCACAAAACATATTGGCGGGCCAACATATGAACCGACAGATAAAGTTGTTGAAAATGCAAGGAGAATGATCAGAGGATATAGGTCATCACCTCTTGAGGAATTCGATCTGTATTATATTGGCCATGTTGAAGGCCATACATTGAGGACTTAAACAAATAAGAAACAGAGAGAGAGAGAGAGAGAGGGAAAGGGGGGTTCAGGAGTCTTATTTGCAAAAGGGAGAGAGAGAGAGAGTGGGTTCACAGTGGAGGAAGAGGGGCCATTTCCTCACTGGAGGTGTTCCAAGACTTTATCCGACCCCAAATAGTTGGGATAAGGCTTGGACGATGATGATGATGAGGTGTTTAGGTCTTTGGACCAAGGGAACATTGTTTCAAAGGAAAGGGGTAATTTTATAATTCAGAGAGGAAAAAAAAAGTAGCAGGGAGCTTAATGTCCTCTTATTAAAACTTGGAGAGGGTCCACGGACTTCTGGCAAACTCGAGCGTTTATTTGGGACCAAGAGTGTAGGTTGGGGGCGAACGGAATGGGGGCAGGAAGTTTTCCTCGAGCGTTTATTTGGGACCAAGAGTGTAGGTTGGGGGGCACGGAATGGGGGTAGGAAGTTTTCCTCGTATACATACATTATGCATTAAATATTTTATACGTACCTGGAAACATGTGTTAAGGAACACCCTTGATTACACACCCACACGTACACACTAACACATGCGCACATTGTTAGTTCCACCTTGTTAGTGCAAATTCATATCATAAAGGAATGACGGTTTGGGTATTTGAAGAGTTTTAAATAAGTGGATTTGCAGATATGGTGAAGCTTGGGATGGTGTATAGAAGTAAGCATTTGGTAGTAAATACAGTATTTCTGAGCTCGATCGAGGGGATATGGAGGTGGGTAGGTTGAATAAGGTCTTGGTATAAATAGAGTATCGTAAAGCTATCGAAATCATGGAAGAAGAGGGGGTAGAGTTAGAATTTGGTCATATTTAGGATTCACTTCCTAGTCTTTTGTGGATGATTACAGACCAAACATAAAAATCTCTATTTGCTTTGAATAGAGAGTGTATGGGGCATTGAATAATTAGGACCTTGAGGATCTCAACGTCTTGATTGGCAACGTAGTCCCGAAATTAGGAAATAATAGGAGGATTTGGATCTGGGACATTGTTGGTATTTTCTCAACTTGGTCGTTTAGGAAAGTCATGTTTGTTGTGGCACTTTGCAAAACTGTTGTTTAGTTTGAAGTACTCCAATTGATGTGCTTAGACAAGATTCTCATCAATGATCATTTAATACACAGATGGCCTAGAATCTTCAAAAGTATATAAGAATGCAGAGAGGACACGATAAAAGTGGACCATCACCTTGCTCTGCATCTTTGCGAGATCTATGAGTTTTCCTTTAAATCTTTTTCTAGTAAATTAGATCATGTCAAACACCGGCTTTGATCAGCATTTGTGTAGACCCATTACCTAGCAGCAGATAAAATTCCATGGAAAGTTAGCTTATCACCAATATATAAAAGAACTAGAAGATCCAGAACATTGAAGTGCTTGTTTCAACCCCCCACATCTTGACGTTTGAGAATAAGAAATTCTATTTTTTATTGGAGATCTATAAGGAGTTCCATAGAATTAGAGTGGAAAAGGATTGGCAACAATCATGTTCACTGCTCCTCCAGCATCTTCACCAAAGGTGCACTGCAATGTTTATTCCCTACTGGGTTATCAGGCATGCATTGACAGAAACTCACTAAGGAACGCTTTGCCTTATTGGGTGGTATCCTTCACAACTAGTGACATTTTGAGGGCTTCCTAAGGTCCTTTAGATGTCTGACATGCTAATACGTTACTGCAACAGATGATGCATTTCCTCTTGTACTCCAAAATTCTCATGCAATACAAGAAGGTAAATTGGCACCATATTTTCTCGTGGCCATGCAGGGAAAGATTTTTGAGATTTGGAAAAAAAAAAAACATACCATGACCCTTAACTATCTACTGAGGGAAGTCAACAAGGCGGATATTATTTGACCGCATTAGTCATATGCAACCAGTCCTTGTTATCATTGATCTCATTTTTCCCCTCTTTGTCTACAGGAATTTGCTTTTTGTTAATCTTATTGTGCTTATTTGCTTTTTGAACTTTTAAATGCGATGAAATGTTGTTAACAATCAAATTTTTATAATTAAAACAAAAAAAAAAAAGAAATCTCACAGCCCACTGAAATAACATTACTGTAAAATAGCATAATACAGTTCATGATGCCTACTCCTATGGTAAAATGGTGCAATACTACAAATGACAAGGACGCATTTGCTATAACAAAGTTTTTCCATTTTACATGAAGAGAAGCACAAGACATCAGCAGTAAAGACAAGTCCATATTGAAGTCAAAAGTCAGAACTGCCAAGTTGACAATAACTAAATGCATGTACACAAAGAGAAAATAGACAGTGAAGAAAAACCAGATTGAAGTCACAACAGGCACGTCAAAAGGAATAAATGCTTACAGAAAGAATATCTAAAGTTTGGACGGCGTGGTTGAATGATGAAATAATGTCCACACCAGGCTGCATCAAAAAATTATCAGATCTATTGAGAGATCGAAATAGAAGAGAAATTGAATTCTCATATAACAATAGGAAGTTGCAGCTAAAAGGCATTTGTTTATGCTACCTACACGAACATGGAAAAAAATCACAAAACAAAAGGAAAAACAGTTACCAATAGTCAAGAGTTAGAAGTCAAAGATTTAATAACCAAAGAAAAAATTCTAATGAGCCTGGCCCACAGAGTGTGTCCCGGTTGTAACACACACGGGTGTCAACATGTCAATTTCAAAATCTGATCTTTCATATCTATTTGCTTAATTTTCAAATGTCGAGGATACCCTTCAAATGTTGATATTTTTTAAGTCTTTTAAGAATAAGATTTGCCAAAGTTTTTCGTAACTCTCTTTTTTCTGGCATACCATAATGGGTAAGGTTTTATTCTAATGAGCTCTGGCTTGTTACCATCAGCAAGTGCCACAAAACTTGTTTGATAATCGTGGAGAAAAAATTACTATTGTAAAATTTACAAGAAGTAACAACTTGGCATGGCTCAGTCGGCCACCATCTTCCTCAGGCTAGAACAAGCTTGGATCTGCCAATGGGAAAATTCAGAAACCTGGTCAACTTGATCACGAATTCAATGTATGGGATATCAAAAACTCTATTGTCAAGAGAGCCTATTTTTCTTACATATAGCTTCTCCACCCAGAAGCAATTTGCTGTATCAAATGCATCAAGATATGATAAAACTGCAAACAAGGAGACAGAATACTGGGAGACTATTTTAGTGACTTAAGAGCCATGTGGGATGAATTGGCATATCATTTCCTCCAACTGTTGACATCTCTACCCAATGGACCTAAGAAGAGTATCATCGTATTTTTGAGCTCCTACCTGGGTTTGAGGTTGAATATGAGACTATTAACAACCATATCCTTGGTCAAGACAAGTTGCGCTCCCATAATTTAGTCTTTCATATTCCCAAAGGATGAAAAACGTGGGTAGATGAGCCCATGCTAGGCAATTATTTCTGATTAATTTCCCAATAGCAGTTTGTTCTGGATTATCAAACTAGTTTGTGGCACTTGCAGATTGATGCTACCGAAAGCACCACTACAGGAGACATCTTTGTCGCTCGTGGTAACAAACAAGAAGGCATCCGCATTAAAATATATCCTTTTAAGGTGTGATAGAAGGGAAAAAGAATATAGATTTGAAAAATTCAAATAAGCATATTCTTAAAAGGATAAGAAGTATCAAAATTTGAAGGGATAATGCAGATATGAAAATTCGGCAAGTAGAAATGAAAAATCAGCAAGCATCATCCAGATCTGAAAAATCAGCAAGTATATATTTCAAGACTTTGCTGAATAATCATCTTTGGGAGTTGTACCACAGTCCCACAAATGTCAGATAAACAATAAAATAGAATAAATCTCATATAATACAACTAAGAGTCCAACAGATGACAATAAGAGATTCCAAAAATGTAGGCTTGGGCAAATGTTTGATGAAAGACTTGGCACCTGAGAGGAGGAATCAAAATCTGTCCAGCATTGAAACCTAGAGACAGTTTATCTTTGGTCTAACTTGATTGATCTTTGACAGCTGATGAAGCAATTTGAATCAGGAGGATGAATCATAACTCATCTATATAGATGAAGAAATCGATATATTGAGGTCTTGCTACAATAGCATGTTAATATGGTTTAGGGATTAAGCAGATAAAGAAGAAACAAAAGAACGGAGTGGGACAAAATTAAGGCCACATATATCTATAAGTCTTGCTTTACAATCATACCCTTGCACAAATAGGTGATTACACAAAAGGTCCAGGGTGTGCTTATATAGTCTTAGCAACTTTAGTATGGACATCTAAGCCTATGTCTTTCGTATATAACATTAATATACAAAATAAGAGGTAGAAATAGAGAAAGGATACTCAGACACAATCTACAAAAAATGTTGGGCAGCCCCTAGGCACCTGGGAGGGTCAAGGGCTGCCTAGGCAGGTGCCCAGAAGTGTTACATATACACATATATGCATATATTTGTTGTCCAAACACAAACACACACACACACATATATATATATAATATTATATTCACACATTCATATGTATTCTAACTAACTTTTTATGCAAATATATAAACACATTCAAAGCATTGAAAATTTGATTCTTTGAATAACTGAAATAGTGAAAAACAAGACATGTCCATATTGTATTAGTGATTTAGTGTCCAAACTACATAATCCATAGTCCATAGGCCCCATAGACTCCAAGTCTCCAATAAGACCAAATGACCAATACAAGATGAGGGAATACAAAAGAAAAGAAAGTGGAGATCTTCAATTTTTCAATGTTTTAGGTGCCTGATCTTCAATGTTTCGGTAGTCTATCAAGCTCAAAATCATCCAAAAATCTTCTAATAACCTCACTTGGACCTTAAAGACGATTGAAATAAGATATCGTAAGATTTTGGATGATTCTACAAACTTCTCAAAATCCAGTACTGGATCTAGCTTTCCCAGGGTATCTACTCAATTCAAAAAAATTGCAAAATCGATCCACTTTGGGTGTTTCTAGGGCATAGGAAGAGATTTTGTTTTCCCCCTTTACTTTGGGGGTTAGCATACCCCCTTTTTTCCATGGGTCAAAATGACCCAAAATGCCCCCCATAAAAAGTTTTTTCTGCCATCTTTATGGACGTTCCTAGGCGCCCACCCAGGTGGGCTCCCTTGACTTTCCACATAGGAAGGCCCACCTAGGCCTAGGCAAGGCGGCGCCTAGATGCTGGGTTGGTTGTTTCTTGAATATATGTGTGTGTAAAAGAAAGAAGAAAAAAATCATTATTTAACTAGACAACATTCAAACATAAATGCCATATCATAGTTGCAATATGATTTTTGGCTTTTTGAGAATTAACATCATCATCGTCAAAAAAATTTTCCAACTACCAAATCATGATCCGTCATTCTGCTCTTCTACTTTATTAAGGGTCATACCCTCAGTGAGGCCGTAAGTCCCCATCTCTTTTCTCATTACTTCCATCCATGTTCTTTTGGGCCTACCCCTTGCCCGTTTTGAGCCTTCCACTTGAACTAATTCGCACCTCCTAACAGTGTTGTACTAGGTCTGCACCACACATGGCTAGCCCACCTAAGTCTACTCTCTCTCATCTCATCACCTATCAGTACCACATCTAAATTTTTCCAAATGCATTCATTTCGAATTCTATCCCTTTTTGTCTTGCCACTAATCCATCTCAACATCCTCATCTCTGCTACATTCATTCTATGGGTATATTGTTTTTTTGATCGCCAACATTCCGTCCCATAGAGCAAAGATGGTCTCATAGTTGTAAACTTACCCTTCAGCTTCATTGGTATTATGATGATCACATAAAATTCATTTTGCACATCTCCACTTCGCCCACCCAACTCTGATTTTATGTGCGACATCTTCCTCAATCTCGCCATTGTCCTAGATCATCGATCCAAGATATCGAAAGTGCACTCTTTTTGATATTTCCTGACCATCAATCTTAACTACTTCCTCATCTCTACTCCTATTATTACTAAACTTGCATTCTATATACTTTGTCTTAATCCGGTTAATTTGAAAACCTTTAGATCAAAGCATCCCTCTAAAGTTCTAACTTTGTGTTGACATCATTTCGGGTCTCATCGATCAAAACTATGTTGTCTGTGAGCAACATGCACCATGTTACCTTATCTTGTAGGTGCCTAGTTAAGTCGTCCATGACTAAGAGAAAGAGGTATTGCTCAATACTGACCCCGAATGTAGACCTATTATCACTGAAAACTCACTTATCACTCCACTAGTTATTCGTACACTAGTTGGCACTCCATCATACATATCTCTCACCAAATTGATGTAGTGTCTGAAAACTCCTTTCTTTTCCAACGCCCATCAAATCAAATCTCGAGGTACTCTATCATAAGCTTTCTCTCGATCAATAAAGACCATGCGGAGGTATTTTTATTTGCCCTATACTTCTCGATCAGTTGCCTAAGTAGGCAAGTAGCCTCGATTGTTGACCTCTCTGGCATAAAACTAAATCAGTTTTTTGATACACTCGTTTCATACCTTAGTCGTTGCTCAATCACTCTCTCCTAGAGCTTCATAGTGTGGCTCATAAGTTTGATTCCTCAATAGTTCGCACAATTTTGTATGTCTCCTTTGTTCTTGTCAATAGATACCACAGTACTTTCCCTCTATTCTTCTGCCAATTTTTTTTTTCCCAACACCTTGACAGCTTGATCAGCCAGTCAATGTCAATCTTCCTCATGCACTTTCAAACCTCTATAGGGATACCATTTGGTCCTAAAGCCTTTCCTATCTTCATACTTTTCAAATCTTCTTTCACTTCTGATATCCGAATGTTGTGATTGTATCTATGACCTCTGCCCTCATTTATGCCAACGGTTTCTTATATCGATATGTTCCCATTGTGTTCATCATTTAGTAATATTTTAAATTAAACACTCCATCTTCCGTTGACCTCTTCATCCTTCACCAAGACCCTGATCCTCACTCTTAATGCATTTTTGAGAATTAACATGAGGATTCTAATAATAAGATACATCTAGTTGCACAAAGAGCAGACAAACAGAATCAGCATTTTTGCATGATTTGTTTAGAAAAAAAAAACACATTAAATAAATAATTTATCAAATGCATATGCATAATAGTATATAAATGCACACATGTCCACATGCACACACAAAGACACATAAATATGCGCATGCATATATACTATATACAGTTGTAGCCTATAGATGTGAAATTTGTCCAATTCACATGAAACAAGTGCCATGTGTAAAAGGAGATTGCTCATTTTAACATACTATGGGAAGACAATTCACCGAAACAAAAACAATAAAAACTCTGCCCTTGAGATATTTTATGCAGCCTCATAAAACAAAAAAGCTTTTCCATAAAGTAAGCAAAACTCAAAATATGTTCCATGAAACAACATCGCATACAAAGGTTGCATGAATATTTGGCCTGAAAAAGTAAACAGAGATGTTATGAAATACTAACCAGTTGCAGATCCAAAAACTTCCGAACTTTGATGTACATTCTCCTCATCCACATCACAATTTGAAGCTGCCTGCAGCAACAAATAAAATACCATGTCCGTAAAATAGAAGTCAATGAGAGAAAATTCAATAATCATTCTACAAAGTGATCAAGAAAACCATAAATAACATAATGTGTCAACACCAACTACAAGACAACAAAAACACATATGTTTGTCAAGAAAAAGCCCACTTAGCCAAAAAAAAATAAAAAAGTTATAATTCATGCCCTAAACAAGTTTTGAGGTAAATAACTCATTAAAAAAAAAAGGTTGCAAGGTTTAGTCCATCGTATAAAGTTAAACAAAGAAACTAGAAGAAACATAAAATCCACCAGGAACTACTAAAATCTTACTTTAGTGAAAAAATTGTCGCAAGATACCAAGTACCATTTAAGAAATGACCAACTACATACCGAAATCTTTGTCATAGTGAAGGGTAACTTTTTCTTACGGGCTACCACACAAACACAGGCACCAATAAGCACAGAAAACCATCTTCCCATACCCCATTCCCCTTCCGTGATACTTTCTACCGTCTCTTTCACATCACAGACTCTCGCTTCTGATAGTCCAAGCACAGAACTGATTCCATCAAGAGCTTTTTTAGCATGAGCCTGACATAAGGTAAACAGCATCAAGATTTATACTAAGTTCAGGACTTAGACGACCATTACTTCATAATCAATCAAATAGTTATATCTGTAAACCAAGCCCAAAAACAATCATTTGAAACTACTAAGAAATCATTAAGGAAAAACCAGTTAACCTTATTGCCAAATAATGAGAATTCGCCATTTCAAGAAGAATAAAGAAGAGATTTTTGGAGTAAAGTTACTACCTTAAATCCAAATAACCAAATGACAACTATCCATTGCAAGAAGAAAATAAAGTAATAATTCTTACCTTCTTTTGATCTTTGTAATTGTATTCTCCTTTAATATGGATTCGACGACCATTAATTACAGCGCTAAAATAAGTGGGGCGATTCACTGATGGTCCAAAGCTTCTCTGATTTTCTCCATAACCTTCAAAAGGCGACACAAAATTGGTACCATCATGCTCTAACCCACAAGAACTGCACACCAATGTCCCAGTGAAAGGATCTTGTATGATACTTTTTTTTCGACATTTTCAACAAAGGCCAGAATCCTCCATAATGGTAGAAGATATCAGCAATTACACATGGTTTGGACAGATGCGTGATTGGTTACTGCAACATCCTGAGAAAAAGTAAACATATAAAAGAAGAGATCAATTTAACAGTGATTTAAGCTTTTACATCTCTATCTTGCTTATTGGGTTATGAATCTCTACTCTAGCTCTAAGAAATAATGTCAGGTGAAAGGACAGTAATATATGAGAAGCCCAGGCGCATAAGCGTATAAGTCTAAGATTACATACCCATTGAATGAACAAATTTATTAAACTGAACTTAAATAACCTGGTATAAATCATATCTAGAGTCTGAAAATTACTTCAAAGGCGGAGACAGGTCAAAGCATTTTCTAAATTTTTCATTGTCTTTTTTTTCTTTTCTTTTTTTCTTTTTGCCAAGTCCTATTTGTTCTCCATAATATCTTATTCTTTTTAAATCAAGATTCAGGTAAAACATAAGGGGATTTTTGAGGAGAGAATAACATGATTTTTTATGGCAACTTATTTTTTCAGTTTTTTTTCTTTCCTTGCTCACTCATATTTCTTCTCTTATTTTCTACTAACCCTGTGATTACAACAAACATATCAACCCCACCACCCTCCCTCCCTTCACCCACGCTCCCTCCCTACCCAACCTATTTGCCCTACCTCTGCTTTACACTATGTTCAAACTTTCTTATTATGGTTTTCATGTTTTTCTCAATCCTTTTGTTCGCAAATAGTTCCCCTGTTTGTTTTATGCAGCTAAAAAGTAAAAAGCAATGGAACCCCAAAGCAACCTACGAAAACTAAGGGTGAAATATTTGTATGGTTCTAATTTATCAGATTATTTACCCCCACATGCTATTTTGATGTCGTAATGTCATTTATTAGGGTAAAGCCAATCCATTTATATCATGAACTCCTGAAAGAAGCATCCAGTAAATAAAATGAAGTTGGGATTATTTCATTAGGCATGATGAACACAACTCAAGATATGATCCTAGTTATCGGAAACTACATAAAGGTCTCAAACTACAAATCAACTATTATCTGAAGCCTCAAAGATTCACCTGAGTAAAGGGGCCTCCACATTGACTAAGCTATCAGAGAAGCCGATAACCTCCAACCGTACAAATGAACTCAGTTCAGGAGGAGATATACACCAATCTTTCAGGACTGTACCAACAGAGCACAGGTTCATCGGACCAGTCAAACTGGACCCATTCACCAGCCAGACCGGTCAAATTTTAAAACTAATTAAAAATAGAAAAACACAAATATATTGGAATAAAAGGAGAATAAGAAGGTCAAACACCCAAAAGAAAACCCTTTTACAAACCCATTAGATTACGAAACTAGCAATTGATGAATCAAAGCCTTGAAAACAAAAAATTTGTTTCCAAAGTTTAGACTCAATCAAAATAAGATTGTAAAGTTCCCTTGAATCACTCCCAAAAAATGGAGATCTAGTGGCTGGAAGCACTTAAAATCCTATTTGCCAAATTTTGGGGTAGAGAGAGAGGTAATATAGATTCATAAAAATCCCTCTTCAAACTCTAGGTTTTAGACCCTCAAATCCCTTGGAGAAGGTGTTTTGGACCACAATACGGACCACAATACCCCTAAACGTACACAAAAGGACAAAAGAATCCAGCCAAAATTACACCAAATAGCCAGAAAACATTAAAAAAATAATCATAAGTTCTGCCTGGAAACCCTGTAGCATCAGAACCGGCTGGTCCAGTCAACGTATCGAGCTAGATATTCCACAGATCTATTCAATTTGGTGGACAGACCAGTTCAGAACCCCCGGCTCCACCATAATGGCCACTGATAATCCGATACAATCCTGATAACTCTGATAGATACTAATTGTTGCCCAATTTCAAATGCTTTAAGAGGAACATGGAAATACATGATAAACAAACCTATCTATAATAACTAGCAATTTAATCCTGAAAAATAAATACATAGATAACAATAATTGATAAAACATTCAAATTAATAGAAAACTAATCAAATAATATAAGGCTTAACCATTTTGCTGCAGTCAAATAACACTCTGCTTTCCCCTCTAAGAGGCCTAACAACAGCCAAATCACTTAAAAGCTTTTCCTTCATTGTAGCCAGTGAATTAAGCCTGAAGATGACCAGTGTAAAAAATTTAAAGAAAATGGTAAAAATGGATTGCAAAAAGGGGAAACCAGTATGTTCATTTCCATACAAGAGAAACTCTAAACTCATAAATTTCAAAACTGATAGCTATAGCAATATGAAACCCATGAGCAACAACTTGTTCGTCCACAAAACCATAACATTTTCATTGGAAAAATTCACAAAAATCCAATTTTGAAAAGAAAGAGACCATATTAAACATTTAATTTTTTCAATGGAGAACCCCCATTGATAAAAAAATCCGTATCAATGCTAGAAACCCTCTCAACAGCATCAAAATTCATTCCCATCCGCAACACGAAATTCTAGTCTAAAATGATCCCAAAATTGGGCTAGGACTATTAACGGTCATTCTTTCTCTTCCGGTTTGCTAGGCGCCTATTTCAGATGGAAAATGGTAAATAACAAGGAGCATATTAAGGACGTTGTCCTACTATGGTTACCAATCAAAAGAGAAAAAAATTCCCCTCAATAAATAATGGAAAAACAACGGAAAGTGAGGGAAATAGATTTTCTCAATTACAAGGAATCAAAAGGAACATGGAGAAAATTAAGAAGTGTACTGTCTGAGTGAAATTAGCAGGTTGGCTTGGGACATAGGGGGACAGGGGGAGCAAAATGATCTAGATTCACTTATGAACCCTCTTACTATTAAGCATTGTGTGTAGCCAATGATGTGCTTCAATTGAAAATAAAGCTAACATTTGTAGGAATTGGGGAAGATTTAACTGGATTTTCAAATGAAAATGACAGATTTCAGCTGAACTCAGCTCAACAAAAATTTCCATAATGACAGATTTCAGCTGAACTCAGCTCAATAAAAATTGCCATAATTAAAACCTATGGCAGCATGTAAAGCATCTAATGCGATTATAGAAAAACAACTCCAAGAGATTCATTGCTGCTCAAATGCTTTGATTGTTTTGGAAAACAAATGAACGCAGTGAAATCTGAATTAGAGGAATATTCTCTGCATATAATGAAATAACAAAGATTCTCTTCCTTTCCATAGAGTTAGACTAGCAATCTAAATGCTACAATTTTCCATTGTTTTGCTCTGACAGTGATAAAACCGAAAACACAATACTAACTGGTCCCCTTATTGGTTTTCAGAGAATTAGAAGTGTGATATTAATATTTTAATGTTTTGAAGCATATGAATGAAATGGCAACCACAAAGGATAGAAAGGAAGAGCAAAACACAGATAGAACCTACTTGAAAGACATACTTGAAAGCTTTAATAATCATAAATTAAAGGGAAACTCAATCTAAAGCTCAAGTTAAACTCACCCAATATACAAATTAGCTATACTTACATGAATTCACCCCAATAAGGTAACAAGAAACACCTAATATTCATGATTCCCAGGCAATTGCATGAATTTCCGTGAAACAGCACCCAACATAGAATTGTAGAGATAGAGATAGAGATAGTCGTATATTTATACGGAACTTTATATATTTTTGACAATTAATCAATAGACGAAGATTTATCTTGAGGGTTCTGAATTTTAACATGGTATCAGAGCCAGGTTAATTCTGTCTTTACCCCAATTTTTTTAGATCAATGCTTAGCTGGTTGTTCTTTTTCCTCTAGCTTTTGCAGCACGACCAGCTTCCTGCTTTGCAGCTTTTACATAAGTAGGGTTCAGCTTCAATGCTTCCGTGCATTCTTTTACGTAGGGTTCAGCTTCAATGCTTCCGTGCATTCTTTTACCGTCTCTGTATCTCTTCCCAATTTTGAAAAGCAGACAGCTCGGTTAGCATGACACATGGAACGAATCTAGGATGATAAAGGCGAATCTGGGCAGAGGTCCAAAGCAAGCGCATATTATGTCGATGCCTCTTCATAATTTCCACCACCAAACAGTTTATTGCCCTCACTTTTTGCATCGTTAGCTTGAGGTATCGTTCTCTATATATTCTCCTTCGCTTGCAGTCTCGAACCCTTCACCTTCTCTGGTTTGATGATTATGATGAAGGGACCTCTCCGACCCTACTACCATTCTCCTGAAAATTTTTCTTTTGCTCCTCGTCTCCATGGCCGCTAACTTGTTCGATGGTCACCATATCGCGCCGATTCAATTCCTCCCTCTCTAGACGAGGAAATAAAGCTGTCCTTCACCTTGGACCACCGATTACCAATATTAATATCTCCTTTCTTGTGAAGCATGGCATTAAAGCCAGCAAGAGCAGCGGTTGATAGTGCAGGTCATCTGCTAGATTAGAAGAATCTCTATGGTATTGCATTAATCTACGACATTATAAGAATCGGTAATAGTGTTTAGTTGAAGAATCCGTAATAGTGTTTAGTTGCCAGGTTACGATTTGGTATTTGGTCAAGTACCGGTCGTTGGCTAATTTATCTCTTAGGCAATTTTTGAAAGTGCGCTTCTCTTAAAAATAATAATAATAAATAAATATCAACCTGTACTTGTCAAGTCTATATTATTTTGATATTGGATTACGTATTTTGATTGGGTGGTTGCATCATTTGAACTTGGTTTTTGAAAAATGAGATGTATTAGCCATAAAACAAAATTTGATGGAAAAAACTATCTCGATTGATGTTTTTATTTTTATTTTTTTGTTGAAGGGAACAGTTTGTAGAGGTATGTTTTTTTGTTGAAAGGAAAGGTTTGTGGAGGTATGTTGATGACAGTGACCTTAAATCAACTACACCCAATACTAAAAATATCGAACAATGGAAGATCAAGAATGCAAAAATTAGATATCCAACAATGGAAAATCAACAATGCAAAAATTATCTCATGGATCATCGGCTCTGTAGATCTGGATATTGGAAGGCCATTGAGAAGCTTCTGTATCGCGAAAGAAATGTGGGAATATTTGGAAAAAGTTTATCAGAAAGAAATGTTGGAATATTTGAAATCGGACAAATCTTGCAAAACGCTTCAAAATCGGAGAAAACTATTCAAGAATATTATGCTGGTTTCATGAACTTGTGAACAGAATATGAATATGTCAACTTAAAGGCTCTCACTAGTGCTTGTTGTATTAAGAGCTTAATGAAGATAAATGATGACATGAAGGTGATGCAGTTTCTTATGAAGTTGCACCCAGACTATGATATCGTTCGAACCAATATTTTGAATTGTGAAACATTAGCCAATATGGATGTCATTATCGATGAACTACTTCGTGAGGAGACAAGAATCACGAGACAAGCCACCATTGAGGGAAGAAAGATATAGAGTATGTACTTGTCTCTCAACGGGCTAGAGGAACACCATCACAAAAAGACACATCTTTTGCTGCAATGTTATGAGTGTAAAGAGTATGATCATATTGTAGCCCATTGTAAGAAGAAAAAATTTTGTATTTATTGTAAACGTGTTGGGCATATTATCACAGAATGTCGAGATCATTCTCAGCTGGCAACCAGAAATTAGATACACGAAAACCTTTTTACATGGCATACCAAGCTGCTAATGATGCTAGAAAAAAAATTTGTACTTTTTGTAAACGTTCTGGGCATATTATCATAGAATGTCGAAATCGTTCTCGATGAGGCAACCAAGCATTAGATATACAAAAACGTTTTTACATGGCATACCAAGCTGCTAATGATGCTTCCAATTGACCAAAGGTAGAGATCCTTCCATCCAGTACAATTCATGATCCAAAAACGATAATGTCCCAGACATCAGATAATATTCGACAGTTAGTACAAAACTCTATCTCTACGACTATCTCCTCTGCTTTCTCTGCTATGGGCTTGGTTGGTATGAACTCTCACATATTCCCTAGTGTCCCCTTTGATTTATTGACTCGGGTGCCTTTAACCACATGACTGGAGTGCACACAAGTCCAGCATCCACTAAATCATACCAAGGTAATAGTCAAATTCTCACCGCTAATGGGGAGAAACTAAATATTATTAGTACTGATAATCTCTCACTTTCTATCTCCCATAGTATACCTTTTCAATTACGTAATGTCTTCTTCGTTCCTAAATTAATTGTTAATCTAATATCTGTAGGTCAACTAGTCGATGATGGTTACAATGTTCAATTTTCTTGTGATGGTTGTGTAATACATGACCAACGCATTGGGAGAGTAAAAGGGAAAGGACGTAGAATTGGTCGTTTGATAAAGGGCGTAAAATTTGTCGTCTGTTTGCCTTGGAGTTTAAGAAATCGAACCATGATGCTTCTTTCTTTTCTCCATCAGATTTTGATTTTTCTGTTTCCAATCAATAATGGCATATGTGGCATCGGAGACTTGGTCATCCGAATGCAAATAAATTAGATGCTTTGTTTCGTTTTGGTCCATTGCCCAATAAAGCACTTGATTTGAATTCTATTAATAAATCTTGTATTAGTTGTTATTTGAATAAAAGAATCAATTTGCCTTTTCCAACTCCAGTAGATAAAGCAGCTGCACCTTTCCATCTTATTCATAGTGATGTGTGGGGTCCTGCTCCAACTTTATCCAGAATGGGACATAAGTATTTTGTTTCGTTCATTGATGAGTGTACACGATATACCTGGATATATTTTACGCGTCATAAATCAAAAGTGTTCACCCATTTTAAAACGTTTTTATCCATGGTTGCAACTCAGTTTAATGCAAAAGTAAAAATATTATGATCAGACTCTCGGGGCGAATACTTATCAAATGATTTTCAAGACTTTTTGAAAACACAAAGTATTCAATCACAAAAAACTTGTTCATATACTCCACAATAGAATGACATAACTGAAAGAAAAAATCGTCATATCTTAGAAGTAGTGAGGACCCTGATGCATGACTCTCGTATTCCTCATAGTTTTTTGGTTGAGGCTGCATCAACAGCTATTTATCTCATAAATTGCCTCCCATCATTGATTTTTCATAAACAATCTCTATATTATTCATTATTTCATGTTCATCCTGATGATTCTCTCTTGCATATTTTTTGGTGTGTATGTTTCGTTCATCTTCCTCAGTATGAATGAACAAAATTTTTTGTTCAAACAGTCACTCGTGTTTTTGTGGGTTATTATTCTGACCAAAAGGGGTTTCTATGTAATGATCCAACAGCTCGTCGTATACGTATCTCTCGCAATGTCATCTTTTTGGAAAGCATCTTTTATTATTCTTCAATTGCAAAATCATCAAGGTCATTTGCTCATTTGTTTCCAGATTTCTCCACTGATAAATTATCACACGTTTTCACGCCTCAACAGCAAGGCCAACAAAACCAATCCACGCCTACTCCATCTCACCAATCAGACTAAGGTCAAATATCCGTCATACCTGTAAGTAATCCTATTGATAGCTCTGCCCAGTTACGACATTCTTCACGTGTACCTCACCCACTTAATCGATATGACTTCTCCCTTAATGATTTTGACTTTTCACTACAGCCTAGAGCTTTGTTTACTTCTCTTGATATTATTGAGGTTCCTTCTAAACACCTAGATCTATGTTTACTCCCTAGTTCATTGTTTGCCCCGTTAGATTCCGTGGATATTCCTCCCTCCTACCAGTAAGCCGTGACTATGCCATGTTGCAAAGAGGCAATAAATGTAGAAATCAGTGCCTTGTTGGAAAATGATACTTGGGATCTTGTACCGTGTCCTCCTCACACATATATTATTGAAAGTAAATAAGTCTTTTATGTGAAGCTTAAATCTGATGGAAGGATCAAGCAATATAAAGCACGATTAGTTACTCAAGGTTACAAACAAGAATATGACATAGATTATAATGAAACATTTGCTCTTGTTGCTAAAATGACTACTGTACGAACCGTAATTGGCCTCTCAGCTATTCATTAGTATACTCTATCTCATATGGATGTGAAAAATGCATTTCTCCATGGACATTTGAAAAATACGGTATATATGAGACCACCTCTTGGTTATTGCAATGATAAATCTATGATATGTCATTTTAAAGAATCCTTGTATCATTTAAAACAAGCTCCAAGGGCTTGGTTTGAACGATTTCGACATGTCGTTCTGAATGCTAGGTTGAAACAAAGTGCCCATGAATCTATTATTGAAAGTAAATGAGTCTTTTTTGTGAAGCTTAAATCTGATGGAAGGATCGAGCGATATAAAGCACGATTAGTTGCTCAAGGTTACAAACAAGAACATGGCATAGATTATAATGAAACATTTGCTCTTGTTGCTAAAATGACCACGGTATGAACCGTAATTGGCCTCTCAGCTATTCATCAGTGGACTATATCTCATATGGATGTGAAAAATGCATTTCTCCATGGACATTTGAAAGCAGCGGTATATATGAGACCTCCTCCTGGTTATTGCAATGATAAATCTATGATATGTCATTTAAAAAAATCCTTGTATGGGTTAAAACAAGCTCCAAGGGCTTGGTTTGAACGATTTCGACAAGTCGTTCTGAATGCTAGGTTGAAACAAAGTGCTCATGACTATTCACTATTTACTCATCATTGTTCTTTAGGAACAACAATTCTCCTCCTATATGTTGTTGATATTCTCATCACATGAGACAACCTTGATAATATCAGACATTTGAAATAACTTCTTAGTCACTCATTTAAAATGAAAGATTTGGATCCGTTGACTTATTTGCTTGGGCTGGAGATTCATTATTCCCCTAATAGATACATAGATAACCGAGAGAAGTACACCAAATACTTGATCAAACTAGCCAACTTATTTGATGATAAACGAGTGGATACATAAATGAAGGTGAATCTAAAATATAGAAAGGCTGATGGAGACAAACTTCTAGATCCCACTATTTATAGATGACTGGCTGGGAGTCTATTTTATCTCACTATGACTTGTCCAAATATTTCTCATGCAGTTCAGGTCTTTAGCAATTTGTTGTTGATCCTTGTCGCATCCACCTCTATGTTGTCCATCGTATCATTCATTATCTATGGGGTACATACCATAGAGGTCTATTATTATCTTCTAACTCTTCTCTCCAATTACAAGCCGATGCTGATGAAGATTGGGCAGAATCCCCCGATACTAGACGCTCAACCACTGGGAGGTATATTTTTCTTAGAGATTCTCTCATATCATGAAAATGTAAGAAACAACAAATCGTGTCTAAATCTTCTACAGAAGCCGAATACTGAGCAATGTCCTCAGCTTGCAGTGAAATTACTTGATTGGGAGACTTTTTATAGGACCTCAATATTCTTCATCGGACTCCTACACCATTGTATCCTGATAATATGAGCTTCATACGTATTGCGTCAAATCCAGTATTTCACGAACGTATAAAGCACATAAAGGTT